GAGAGAGAGAGAGAGAGAGAAAGAAAGCACAAGCCAGGGAGGGGCAGAGAAATTAGGAGAGAGACAATCTCAAGCAGGCTCAGTGCCATCAGTGCAGAGCCTGATGCGGGACTCGAACTCATGAACCATGAGATCATGACCTGAGCTGAATCCGAGAGTCGGACACTTAACCGACTGAGCTACCCAGGCACCCCTACAGCTTATTATAGTTGATTATACAGGCAAGTGGTTTTCGTTATTTTGAGACAATTCTGAGTTCACCAAAATCATCATACTATCTCCATCATGAGTGGTATTACTATTCCAGCTGGTGTCTGTTCAGGAAATAGCTACAGTTAGAGATCGGGATATATGGCTCTGAATTTCCCCAATTCTTGACCCCAAAATATCTATAAACAGTATATCTCAGATGCAAATACAAGACAATGGTAGACTTTGCCCTGAGAATTCTACCCCAAGGCACTGTATAAAAGATATCAACCAACAAAACTATAATGAATGTCATTTACCTATAAATGGAAAATCTGTTGTAGGAATTTTTCAAGGTAACTGCCTTTTTCCTAGCACAGACTGAAGCAGCCAATCACAGTGGCTAAGCTAGAAGAGGCCTGTCACTCAACACAGAGAAGAGTGAGAAAGCCTGTTCTTTTTTTTTGAAGGGGAGTGGTAGAGTTTGAGATCATTCTAAGAATATTCTACAAACCTAAAAGTTCTCTGTACACACTGTTTAACTATTTGTATTTTTCCCTACGTATAATCTGTGCCTCACTTTTCTCTAGTAGTGAGTGCAATCAAGGAATAATGGTCTAAATATATAAATAACACGTAAGAATAAGTTAACATAAAAGAAATAATATACATTTCTATTAAGAACCCGTACAATCTGTTATGTGCAAACAGTGAGAACAAAACTACTCTTTTGAGGCCTCTGATCTCAAGACCTTCTACTGAGGACAGGAGAAATGCCTAATTTTAGTGCTCCTTTATCATTAGTATTCATTTCTAATATGTTTTAAAGTTAATTCTGCAAAGTACAGGAAATGACATAGATAAATTTCATGACATATTCATAATTTTAGACAAGCAAACTTTCAGTTTTTGTCTATTGAAAAAAGAATCATAAGGGTTAAAACTGTGAAGTATTACATCCAGAAATATTTAATCAATTAACTCACTAATGAAGCTTGGCTGATGAAAATTATACACTGGGTATTTTTAAAAGAAGCTCTTTTCAAGCTCTGATTTTAAGTAATAATTGCATTTCTTTTACATATTTCTTTGTAATTAGTATATTTAAAATGTGGTCGGGATTTTGAGTCAAATACTGTATAATTTACTTCTTCTTTGAAGTAATTCCCTAATAAAATGATTAATGACAACAGCATTACGATTAATAATGATACATTATACTTTACAGCTTTGAGGAGCTACAAGTACTTTACAGATTTCATTGCCTTCTTCAGTTCTATGAGGCAGACAGGAAAAGAGCATATTATTCTTTTTATGGGTATTTAGAACTATAAGAAGTTAAAGCCATATCAAAGAATATTTACATATTTTCTGCATACATAGATATATGTATTAGTTCATAAATGTGGGGAATATTTGTTCTATACAAATATTTCATTTATGTGCCTACCACAATGTAACCTGTCAAAAAGAGAAAGGTTTATAGCTTTCTAGACTGATTAAATGCCAATGACTGCCAACTTTTATCATTACATTGCTTAATTTCACTAAACTCCAGGAAAGTACTCAAAGACAACAACAGTTCCATGAAAGAATTTAAAGTGATATTCATGTTGACTTCAAAATTCTCTTTTACTTAAGTTTCAGAGTTTGAAAATTACGGTGCAGTTAAACAATGTGCAGTGGGAGAAATCGCCTTGGAACATGTAGGAACATTTGTCTCAAGAGACAAACTCCTACAGCTTAGGACAGAGTTGGGTCTGGAATCTGGATTTCCTGGAGTCTAGGCTTGAGTGCTTTCTACTCTAAGTTTGTGTAACATACAACTGCAGTGTTTCATGCCCTTCTGTCACCAGTATACACTGGAAAGTAATACTGTTATGAAAATCAGTTTAAAAGATTGTTTAAAAGACTAGTTTAAAAGAACTGCAGTCATTGAAGTCACTGATTATAAACATACTCATTCTGTAAGTTTAAAAAATAAGACTTGCCTCAGTTGGTTAAGCGTCTGACTCTGGCTCTGGTCTTGATCTCAGCGGTTTGTGAGTTCAAGCCCCACATTGGGCTCTGTGTTATCAGTGCAGAGCCTGCTTGGGATTCCCCTCCCCTCCCCTGTCCCCCACCCCCTGTCTCCTTCTCTCTCTTCCCCTCAGTCACTCACTCTCTCTCTCTCAAAACAAATAAAATAAAACTAAAAGAAAAAGTCTGTTAAAAAATAAAAATAAATAAAATTAAGAATTGTTCCTGGGTGCCTAGAAGGTTCAGTTGGTTGAGCGTCCAACTCTTGATTTTGGTTTAGGTCATGATGTCACAGTTCGTGAGATCCAGCCCTGCATATGTTTCTGTGCTGACAGCACAGAGCTTGCTTGGAATTCTCTCTCTCCCTTTCTCTCTGCCCCTCCCTTGCTCATGCTCTCTCTCTTCTCAAAAAAAATAAATAAATAAAATAAATAAAAATAAAGAAATAAACAACAACAACAAAATAAGACCTATTCCTTTGCTGGGTAAAATCTTACTATTTTAGTGTACTCCCAATAGTTTATTTTTGCTTGTATCCCTTGCCTGAGGAGACATAGCCATAAATAGTGCTAAGGCTCATATCAGATTACTGCCTATGTTTTCTTCTAGGAATTTTATGATTTTAGGTCTCACATTTAGGAGGTGTCTAATCCATTATAAGTTTATTTTTATGTATGGTGTATGAAAGCGATCCAGTTTCATTCTTTTGCATACAGCTTTCAAGCTTTCCCAACACTATTTGTTGAAGAGACTCTTTCCCCACTGTATATTCCTGCCTCCTTTGTCATAGATTAATTGACCAGAAAACGTGGATTTCTGGACTTTCTGTTCTGTTCCAATGATCTGTGTATTTTTGTGCCAGGACCAGCTTTGTCGAAATCTGGGATTGTGATACCTCCAGCTATGTTCTTTTTTCTAAAGATTTCTTTGACTATTTGAAGTCTTTTTTTATTCCATACAAATTTTAGGATTATTTGTTCTGGTTCTGTGAAAAATGCAATTGGTATTTTGATAGGGATTGCAATGAATCTACAGATTGCTTTGGGTAGTATAGACATTTTAATGATATTAATTCTTTCAATCCATGAGCATGGTATAACTTTCTATTTTGTCTATGTCATCTTTGATTTCTTTCATCATTGTCTCTCAGTTTTTGGAGTACGGGTCTTTCATCTGCTTGGTAAAATTTATTTTGAGGCTTTTGTTCTTAGGGGGCAACTGAATATAGAATTGTTTTCTTCTTTTTCTGCTGCTTTGTTATTAGGGTATAAAAATGCATATCAATTTTACATCCTACAACTTTACTGAATTCATTTTTCAGTTTTAATAGTTACTTGGTGGAATCTTTATAGTATCACGTCATCTGCAAATAGTGGCAGTTTTCTTCCTTACCAAGTTGGATGCCTTTTCTTTTTCTCGTCTGATTACTTTAATTTGGATTTCTAGTACTGTGTTGAGTAAAAGTGGTGAGAGTGGACATTTTTGTCTTGTTCCTGAATTTAGAGGAGAAGCTTTCAGTTTTCCACCACTGAGTATGACGTTAGCTCTGTGTTTTTCATATATGGACTTTATTAGTTTGAGGTATGCTCCTTCTAAACCCACTTTGTGTAAAGTTTTTTTTTTATCATGAACAAACGTATTTTGTCACATGCTTTTTCCGCATCTACTGAAATAACCATATGGTTTTTGTCCTTCCTCTTTTTAATGTGATATATCACAATGAATGGTTTCTGAGTATTAAACCACACTTGCATCCCTGAGATAAAAGCTTTTGCATAGCAAAGGAAACTACCCACAAAACAAAAAGCCAACCTAGTGAATGGGAGCAGATATCTACAAGTGATATATATCTGATAAAGGGGTTAACATCCAAGACATATAAAGAATTTATAAAACTCAATACTCAAAAACCAATCTGATGTAAAAAAAAAAATGGGCACAATATCAAAACAGACATTTTTCCAGAGAAGACATACAAATGGCCAAGAGACACATGAAAAGATGCTCAACATCAATAATCATCAGGGAAATGCAAATCAAAACACAATGAGATAGCACCTCACACCTGTCAGATTGGATAGAATCAAAAAGACAAGCTCTAACAAGTGTTCACAAAGATGTGGAGAAAAGGGAACCTTCGTGCACCGTTGGTGGGAATGTGAATTGGCGCGGCCCACTATGAAAAACATGGAGTTTCCTCAAAAAATTAAAAATAGAACTACCATGTGATCCAGTTATTCCTCTATGAGGTATTTACCCAGAGAAAATAAAAACACTAATTTCAAAAGATATATGCGCCCCTATGTTTACTGCAGCGTTATTTACAATAGTTTAGATATGAAAGCAACCCAAGTGTCCAACAAAAGATTAATGGATAAAGATGTGGCATATATACACAATGGAATATTACTCAAATATTAAAAAAAAATGAGATCTTGCATCTGTGACAACAAGAATGGCCCTCGTGGGAATCAGACTAGGTGAAGTAAGTCAGATGAAGAAACACAAATACCATTTGATTTCATTTATATGTAGAATCTAAAAACCAAACAAATGAAAAAAACTAACAAAAATACAGACTCTTAAATACAGAGAACAAACTGGTGGTTGCCTGAGGGGAGTTTGGTTGGAGGGGATGAGTGAAATGTGAAAGGGATTAAAAGGTATAAACTTCCAGTTATAAAATAAATAAGTCACAAAGATGAAATGTATAGCATAGGGAATATAGTAATAAAAAGGTTTCATTCTGAAAGCTTATTTCATGTTCTTATGGTATATAATAAATGACATACCTGCCCCATGCTGCCTCATTTGTCGATGCTTTATTAACTGGAACACAGGAAGAGTCAATGACAGTTGATCTGTTCATCTTGTAGCAAAAACCACAGTCTGGATCCAACATACATTCATTACAGTAACTGTAAAATAAAATGAAAAAGCTTGAAATACTGTGAGAATTACCAAAATGTGACAAATAGCATGTTAGAGACTATTGGTATTCTACATTTTCTACTGTACTTTGCAGGAAGCTTGGGGCCATGTGACTCGTCTTAGCCACGGCAAAGTGACGTGTGCTGAAGCTTGTGAAAGCTGGCAAGTCTCCTCCATCTGTCCCTCCCCTGGCTGCAGCAACTTTGGAAGCCACTTAGAGGTGGAGGAAACTTGGATCTGAGACACTGGGTATAAAAGAACTCCAGCTGTCCCTCAGGAAATAAACTTTTGCTTTTCTAAGCCACTGAGATTTGTTGCCAAAGCATCATGGACTGGCCCAATTTGACCCAGCTGATTGGTTCCAAAATGTACCAAAGCATTTATTTCTTGTCTCTATTACGTACCATATCCTTTAAAAATGGAAAATATATTTCCCAATATATATACTGAAATAGAAAATAAAAAGAGTGAAAAAAATATAAAGAAAAAAGTTAAAAAACACCACACCAATAATGGTCCCTTGTTAATGTCTTGGTAGATGTCTGTACTTTTAACAAACCTACACTGAGTATCAAGTGTGTGTTATGCTTAACTTAAAATAAGCTGGTATAGGAATAAAAGGCTAACTTTTCTCTAAGTTAATTACATCTACTGGTTGCATCACTGAGCCATAATCAATTAATCACTGCTCACCTAACAGCAGTATCCTAATTGCAGAAAATCCTAAAGAGGCAAAATACTTTAGAGGGCAAGGTTTTCCAACCCAAGTCTGCAAAGTACTTGTAAATGTGTTTTCTTGCTGTCAAACTCGTTTGCCAGACAATTCTGGAGTATGTCCTGCATGGCAGGCACACACAGGCACTGGAGACACTCAGATGAATAAAACAAAGTCCCCGCTCCTTGGTAAATAAAAGGCAAGGGCAGGAACATATAGACAAATAAATAATGGCAGTGTAATAGAAATTAGTGTGAATGACTCGAAGGACTGAATCCTGTTCATTTGTCTGTTAAGCACTGGAGATAATGTGAGAGGAGATATTTGAGGTAGATCATAAAAGAAATTTACCAGGCAAAGAAGTAGAGAGAAGAGCATTTCAGAGGACTGCTTATTTTACAATTAAAGATCAGTCAGTACAGACTTTTTTACTGTGTACGAGTAATTATACTACTGGGTGCCGGGTAAGAACTACGGCAAGTTATTCAGAAAAGATGTGAATTCTCAAAATCAAAATACTTCTTTGACTAAGCTAAATGGAAAAACAACAGCATTGTTTAAAAACAAGATTATCATTTCAGCCTCCTTCTGTAAACTTTTCCTTTGCAAACAGCCATCCCTAATTTTAAATGAGATTTCAGACTCCTTCAGGCATAGCTTGGAAGTACTGAAGATTTGGTTCTAGGATACTGATGAAAAAGTCTGAAGTATCTTGAGAATTACCAAAATGTGACAAATACAAAGGGAGCAAATGCTGCTGGAAAAATAGTGCCGACAGACCTGCTTAATGTGGGGTTGCCACAAAACTTCAATTTGTAAAAAACACAATATTCTGTGAAATGCAATAAAGCAAAAACTCATGAAAGTAAGCTATGCCAGTACTAAAAGCAAGGAAAAAAAAGGCCTTTCAAAGCCCACTGAAAGGTCAACATAACTTTAGGAAGGTGATACAGCACTATAAATATAAAAGTGTCCACACTTGTGATAGACTAAACAGAACAACAGGTAGCATTCGAAGTACTCTGGGCTTCTGGCCTTCATAGCTAGAAGGCTGATTATGAAAGGATGGTAATTCCTACTAGTATTTGGTTGGTTGATTCCACCCAGGTAAAGTAGAATCTAACAACCCTGATTGTTCCAATGGCTTTAAGTGATAGTTATTTGGGAAAGGTCAACTCATCCAATTGTAGAGAAACGACTCTACTTTATTTCTGTAATGATAAAGGTTAACAGTAAATAAAAGTAATGATAAAGTAATGATAAATAAAGTATCATTATCAAAATAAAGTAATGATAAAGGTTAACAGTTACCAAAAACCTACTACATGTGCATGTCAGACATACAACATGTTCATTCATGACACTTTACCTCCTCCATCTGACTCTCCATTCAAGCTTCTGACCCTGACCACAACCTACTGTTCTTCCAGCTTGCTGATAAATGATTCTCGCTCTGCCATGGTGATTCATTCAGTACAAGTATTTTCCACTTATGTGCCAGCGAATATTCTGAGGGCTGGGGCACATTAGTAAACAAAACAGATTCCCTACCCTTGAGGAGCTGGTTTGCCTATATGATCTCCACTTAATTGACCCCTCTACTTGCTCCCTATTCATTAGCTTTTTACTTTTACGTCCATCCTTCTCTAGCTTATTGACCATCCTAATTTCCCTGCCCATTTACCTTTCCATCTCGCCTGACTAAGCAACATCCTAAATTTCCCTGCCCATATCTTTAAATCTCCGCTGACAAGCAAAAATCCTGGCCATATATGAGTGCGAACATTTGCCTTTTCTGTGCCTTCCCCAGGATATTCAAGTGCAGCTGAGGGCATCACACAACAGGGTAGATCAGTAGTTCCTCTCTAATACACTGTTGGCAGCCTCAAAAGGATCCTCAATGGCCTGACATTCAATAATTCCCTCTAGTCAATTCCATCCATACAAGGACTTTTTCCAACCATACGACACAAGGAGTATTCTTCAAATCTCCAAAGCTCTATGCCTTTTTGTCACTTCATATCCAGCTTCACAAAGAAAACAGATGAAAATGGTAAAGATGGGAACTTTATACACTTACAGCAAACACAGAAACCATCCTACTTTCCCTCTGCTCCCATTACAGAGAAATTGTTTTTCTCCTCTATCTGGGCTTTATTTCTATTCCATCTCCTTAGCCCATTTCAGACCCTTTTGATTATTGTTCCTTTTTCTCACACGTTTACTGTCTTAAGATGGAAGATTAGCTTTTTGATTCGACAGCTTTCTTCTTTCTTAATGTAGGAAGTTATAGCTATGAATTTCATTCTGAACACTGCATCCCATATTTGGTATGTTTGGTCTTCATTTTCATTCATTTCAAAGAATTTTCTAATGTCCCTTGTGACTTCTTTGACCCACCAGATTAAGAAGTATTATTTAATTTTCGCATCTTGGTGAATTCCCCAAATTTCTTTGTTAGTGATTTCTAATTTCTTTTAAAATTGTTTTAATGTTTATTTTTGAGACAGACTGTAAGTAGGGAAGGGGTAGAGAGAGAGGGAGACACAAAATCTGAGGCCGGCTCCAGGCTTTGGGCTGTTAGCACAGAACCTGACATGGGGCTCAAACCCACGAACTGTGAGATCATGACCTGAGCCAAAGTTGGATGCTCAACCGACTGAGCCACTCATGCACCCCTCCAATTTCACTCCAATCCTATTGGAAAATATACTCAGTATGATTTCCTATTTTTAAAATTTACTGAGGCTTGTTTTCTGGCCTGGCATGTGATCTATCCTGGAGAACGTTCCTTGTGCACTTAAGGAGTGTATATTCTGTTGATAGTGGAGTTTTCTCTAAATGTCTGTTCGATCTGGATGGTTTGTAGTCAATAAACTAATCTTGAAGCACCTTAGCCCCCTGTTTTCTACTAGTATGCACTTCTACTTAACTCTGCCCACATACTGGAAATTGTCATAATCTAGAGGTCAGCAAACTACAGTCCTTGAGACAAATGAGACCACTACCACCACCTGTTTTTGCAAATAAAGTTTTACTAGAACACAGCCATGCCCATTTGTTTGCTTACTGTCTATGATGGCTCTCAAGCTTCAACAGCAGAGCCAAGAATCCATGTGGCCTACAAAGCCACAAATATTTACTATCTGACCCTTTATAGGAAGTTTGCTGATCCCTGATCTGGAACACATACTCTGACCTCACATGCATATTTCTCATTCCTTTCCTTACAGATCTCACTTCCTTACTCTAAGACAACTGCTTTGCTACCTCAGAGACCTTCTACACTCCCTTCTTTCTGATCTTTCACTCACTCCATGGCTTTTTGTCCTCATCTGTCAAAACTTTCATGGTGAATCTTGTTACCACTCTCACCAGACCCTCCAAATCTTTGTATTTTGGTCCTTCTATACATCGCTCTATACACTTTAATGTTTGACACTTTCCAGCCGTCTTTGTTCTTTTCCTTCTATATCTAGGTTGTTCCATACTGATGGAGAATTAACACATCCAGGCCCACCGATAAAAGTACACATTCATAGTATTCAGCCAACCACAGCTGGATCCTCACTGCTACCAGGGAACTTTTACCTGTCAGTCAGTGCCTTTCCCCACTTCCACAACTGATGCCCCAAACACCAACTCTCCTCTGACCCCAAACCTATCCCTCCCACACCCCCCACATCTCTTAGAAGATGGCCTTGCCTGGCTTGAAGTGAAAACTGAAGGGATGAGAAAGGAACATTCTCAGCTTTAAATCCAGACATAACAAAGATCTCGACAGCCAGGTCTATCTTCACCTCTTTTCTTCCAGGCTCTGCAAAAGGTCATCCCTCCACCAGGGCTTTTCATCTCGATCTCTTCACCAGCATGAACACCCTGTTCCATTGGTTATTTTCTTCTCTTTCTACTTTCCAACCTCTTCTAGAATACACCACAGTTAATGTGAAGCCCTTCCCTTGTTGAGAAAAACTCGAGAAGCTGTCCTCTCTACTCTCCATACTTGTCCTCCATACTGGTTCATGTGGGTCAGTCAGGGAAAAGAGGCCAAATATTAAACAGTATTCCATTTCCTTGCCATGACAGACAGTCATCTGGACTTAGAGACACTCAGGCTTCCAGAAGCAAGATAAAATTCCCTACCACTCCCTCATTCTTGACCTGCATTTTTTTCATCATATAGGCTATTTTATGGCAAAAAATTCTCCCAAATGTAACAATATTTCTATCTTCAACATGACATTTAGAAGGTGACACGAAACTTTAAATATC